ATGAGATGCTATTGTAAGACCGAGGCAAAATGAAAGATACGGACGTAGAGCATAAAAAAACGGTGTTGCGACAGTGTACCGCGGCACCAGAGAGATAGAGAGGAGAGAGAGGAGAGGAAGAGAGAGAGAGAGAAGAGAGAGAGAGAGAGAGAGAGAGAGAGAGAGATAGAGATAGAGAAAGATGGAGATAGATAGAAAGAGAGAAAGAATGAGAGAAAGAAAGAGAGAGAGAGAGAGAGAGGACACGCCATTGCTAACTGTTGCCAGGGGACGTGACCTTGGAGTAAAGTGGTGCATTTAACCGCAGCCTTACTACCATGCTTCAGGAATCAGAGTGATTATCTTAAATACATAATATTTACCGTATAGACAGATATATAAACGTACATATATCTGATGGATAGACAGATATGCACTTATTTCTGCGTATAAGTGTGTCTGTATATAGATATATTCATTAAGTCGGGCCTTACGCAATCTAGTCAATTGATATCTAAGCCGTACCCCTATTTTTACCTTCTTTTCCTTCTCTTTTATCTTTCGCTTGTACTTCTGTCTGATAATATTAGCTGAAAAAAAAATCCTCGTGTGCTGCTCACGTGGACGACCAAACATTTCAAAGGTGCGGTAACATTAATTAACCACAAAGTAGATGCAAGATGTTCAGATGTATGCGGATGATCTACCTTGCCAGATAATGGATATATGCATGTGATCTATGTATATCCACCCATTAGTGTATTGAACGCATGGCCCTATATGTATGTACACTGTCACACACACACACACACACACACACACACACACAATATATATATATATATATATATATATACATATATATATATATATATATATATATATATATATATATATATATATATATATATATATATATATATATATATATATATATGTGTGTGTGTGTGTGTGTGTGTGTGTGTGTGTGTGTGTGTGTGTGTGTGTGTGTGTGTGTGTGTGTGTGCATGCATGCATGTATGTATATATATGTATATACATACATATACACATATATATGACACACACACACACACACACACACACACACACACACACACACACACACATATATATATAATATATATATATATATATATATAATATATATACACACACACATATATATATATATATATATATATATATATATATATATATATATAATATATATATATATATATATTCACACACACATATATATAATATATATATATATATATATATATATATATATATATATATATATATATATATATATATAATACATATATATGTGTGTATGTGTGTTCTTACCTAGTTGTTTGAATACGGGAGAAGAGCTATGCTCAGGTGGTCCCGTCTGCTATATTTAAATTATCGTATAACTTTTTAAATTGATGCACAGTTTTGGCACACACTACTTGATTGGGGAGACTGTTCCACGATTCAATAATTCTGTTTGGGAAACTATATTTTTTGACATCTTTATCACCTCTTTTCACTGTCAACTTTTTGTTGTATCCTCTCGTTCTTCTTGTGGTCAAGATCAAAAAGTCATCCTTATCTATCTTCACTCTTCCTGTAATACAGTTGAAAAGCATAATCATGTCCCCCCTTTTCCTTCTTTCTTCCAAGGTAGTAAGTCCTAATTTCTGTAGTCTGTCTTCGTAACAGATCTCTTAGGGTAGGTGCCCATCTTGTCGCCGCTCTTTGGACTCTTTCCAGTTTGTCAATATCTTTTTTTTAAGTGTGGACCCCATACCACTGAACCGTACTCAAGACTTGGTCTTATGATTGCTTTAATTTTCTTTATATCTTCGTCCCATACACGAACACGAATGACCTTTCATTATATCATTTATTTATTCTATGATTATCCTAAGATCTTTTTCCCTGTCAGCTGTGTCTAATACTGCATCCCCTAATTCATATTTGAATAGTGGGCGATCTCTACTTTCTCCAAACCTGACTACGTGGCATTTACTGGTATTGAATACAACTCCACGTGAATAAGTTCTCGATGTCACTTTGGAGGCATTGGCATGAGACGTTGTCTATTATCCTCTTTTGTATCTTTGCGTCATCTGCAAACATATTCAGATAACTACCTGAGCTTATGTTTGACTCTAAATCATTGACGAAAATAGTAAACATAATCGGCGCCAACACCGATCCTTGAGGCACTCCGCTGGTTACTCGTCGCCATGTAGAATGCTTTCTTTTAATTACTGTGCTCATTTGTCTTTCATCCATGCGAGTAGGTTGCATTTCACTCCACCTAGGTGCTCTAATTTCCATAGTAGTCTTCTATGAGACACCTTTTCAAAAGCCTTCTTAAAGTCTAAAAACACACAGTCCACCCAGCCGTTTCTTGTAATATTTCAGATTATCATAAAAACAGAGGAGATTTGTTACACACGACCTTCCTTCTTTAAAACCAAAATGTTTATTTGATATCATTTCATGTTTTTCAAGCATTTCAACCCATTGTTTTCTAATC